CGATAATTTCAGAATTTTGTGACTCTTCAAATGATGGTAGGCTAGTTGAAATCATAGGGTTCCTATACTCAGTCATGCACGAAATCGGCTCTTTACACGCACTATAAATGCGCTCGTGCACACCTCAGAGTCTGCTTTTAAGCCAACGAGCACTATCTTGCGGTCCATGACGGCAAGAACCCCCTCAACATCTGGCAACACGCAGGCTTCCGATGACAGAGACTCACAGGTGGAGTTATTTATCTAGTTTTTTTTATCTATTGTGGTAATTTGCAGGTCGTGTCAAAAAGTTGTTGGTTTAGATAAATAGCAGTATTCTGTACGTTTGACTCATGTACGATAATTTTCTTCCAAATACGATAATTTTGAGCTTCTGGTACGACACTTGGACATTTCCAATCTGGCAACACTGCTCTAAACGGCTCTGACAGAAGCAGAGCGCGAATTCCAGCCAGCGACAGCGTGAGCGTCAGTTTAACGTTGAAAGAGAGCGAGGTAAGATGGAAATTTGCAAAATGCAAATAATTTAATATTAGTCAACTGTTTTACGTAGAAATTTTAATTGACTTACAGCTATATCCCATGACGCAAACAACTCAAATGGCGATTTTGAGAGAGAGAAGTTGAGATGAAAGTTGTGTCTGAATTACCTGCATCTGTAAGTTTCTCTCTACAAACAATGAATCTGTGAGTTTAGTTACTTCAAAAACACCTCGTTGCAGATAAATTATAGGCTATATTATAATTTTAAAAAGTCGCGGGGTAACTTAGTCGAGGTGTGTTCGCGCTGTTGATTCCCCCAATGTTCAAGACATGGTTGCGGCCTTGGATCATGAGTTTATTTGTATTTTTTAATAAAGTCATTGAAGGTAAATAGGGTGTTGTTCCAGCCATAATCCAATTGGTGTTTCTTTTAGGGTGCAAGGAGAATCCTACATACCTTAAAAAAAACAGTTTATTAGCTCACTGTGTTTTAACAGTGCACAAGTGTGTTGTAATTTATACTGTAGGCTATTGCATGTTACTTTGGGAGCAATTCACCTGAACAAATTTGTCATGAGCAATTTTTCAACTCTCTCAAATTGTGCTACTGGATTGTAACCTACTTAGTGTGTGACCACTTCACATTACTTTGAATATTACATATGATATGAAATATGGCCATATGTCAGTGGCGAGCGGTGAGTTTTTAAACCAGGTATGCTGAGTGATAAGACCCCCCCCCCCAATCGGCTTTTAGGACACTCAAAAGGGATCACAGATGACAAATAAACATCGTGGCAGGTGTCGATTTAAAAGTATGCACATTTCCTATCTTATTTGTAAATGAAATTCATCTCCAATCCTTCTTCTGTCATTTCAGGTTTATTCATTGTTATTCGAATGCAAGAAAAATATAGCTGGTTTTACAAGTAAAAACCGCCAAATAAGGTTTACACGTAGTTATGTTATGATATGTAATCAGAGGGTGGGGATTCCTCCAGTCTATATATCTCTCTGCATCTGCTAAATTATTTTTTTATTCCCCGTGAATAGGAGTTAAAACTAGGGATGTGCGGGACTAGTCGACTAAAAGGTACAGCTCCTACTAGTCGACACCGAAAACAATAGTCGATTACACGACAGAAAAAAAAAGAAAAACCAAAACTGGATTTTATCATTCACATTACCATCATTTTAACATTGCATTTAAAACATTTTAAATAACAAGTTAAAATAAAACGTTTGAAAAATAATACATTATTTTTAAAAGTTTATCTGGGTGGAAACTAAATTTTTACCACGGACCTCACATTCGTGATTCATTCAGTTGCGCATGCGCAACATCCTATAGGTTCTGTACTGGAATTAGTCAAGTAGTTCACCTGTTTTGAGTCTTCGGGTTTTTCGAGTCATTCGTACATCACATGACAGCCCCTTAAGTTTAACCAATGCAGTCTGAGCCGGAAAGAGAATTGATTAGTTCATCTCTCGAGTCTTCGGGGTTTTCGAGTCATTCGTACATCACATGACAGCCCCTTAAGTTTAACCAATGCAGTCTGAGCCGGAAAGAGAACTGATTAGTTCATCCCTTTGTCTCTCTGTTTTTAAAAGCCGTTTTAATGCTATTTCTCGATAAACCTTACTATTGTTCTTGACTTTTGTTTTAATATGTTGACTAACGTTATATGAACATTAAGAATTCTGTCAGGCTATTGATTGATTTTCCATTGTTCTGCATTTCCCCAGCTGATTTGAATAAATAAGCTATGCTTTGACCCAAGTTGAGTGTATGCTCTTCTTTTTTCTTTTTAACGACCACCTAAAATTAAATGATGATAACGCGAGGCAAGTGTGCGGCAAGCGGAATTCATTGAGGGATTTGACAGTGTGATTCATAGATTAAGTATTTCAAATATAGGCTATTATATAGGCTATGCTACACGCACGCACAGAGGGGTATTTTTCTTACCATCTTTTGGGGGTTTCTTGCTTTTAGACTAGTCAACTAGTCGGATACAAAACTTTCGTTTAAACGACAGTCAAATTAGTCGTTGCGCACATTCCTAAACTACCACCCGGGTGACACTAGTCCAATAACAGACCATGCAAAATACCCAAAAGTATTTAAAATATTGCAAAGTAATGTTGCAACCTTGCAAACAATAATAAAATCAGAGAAGGACTTCAACTGTAAGCGACACGAGCATACGCAAAGCAACCGCAACTGACGTAGATTTACAGAAAACGACTGCCGTTTGGCAAAAAAATTATTTTACGTACTTATTCCTAACACTTTAAGCTTTACGTTACATTTCAAATGACAAGGGATCAACTTATAATCATGTTCATATGAATTATCCCATGAACTTATTCTCTCAAATGGCCTGGGTATGTGGAGCATTCGCAGTTTATATGGAGGGAACGCCACTGATTTATATTATATATATTTTATATATTATGGCTATGCAAACATGACTTTTTAGTTTTCTAAGAGAGCAACTTGATGTTTGTATGTAATGGTGATTATGCAGTTAATCGTAAATGTATTTGGATACTGCTGTTTACATGCTATTTTGGTCTGATCTATTTGATTAGCATGCAATAATGGCCAGCCATGATCTGCTGTAGTGCTGGGCAGGAGGATGACAGAGAAAGAAAACCATGGAGAAATACCTTCCCAAATATGTCCCATTCTTCACTCTTCTGGCTCTGTCAGGACTCTTATTCCTGCTGTGGAATATCACCTCATTGGAAGTGAGTAAAAGCAAAGTCCCTTTCAAGGAAAGATTGTTCACTCGGCGGCCATATTTGCAACGCCTCCGGGCAGCTATTTCGAACATCCAAGACCATGTCCTATCTAAATGAATGGGGGAATCCTGAAATCTCAAAAACTGCTTGCCGAACTCACAATTAAATTACATATTTCAAATCAGCAACAAAATCTGAAATTTTAGTCCAGCCAATGTGCAGGTACAGTCATAAGCGCGAGTCTCAGGTTTCTATGGGAACTGGAGCTTCTAATGGCAGCTGCAGTGACACAATGACTTTACAGATTAGGCCATTCTTAAAGGGGTCATATGATGCGATTTCAATTTTTCCTTTCTCTTTGAAGTGTTACAAGCTCTTAGTGCATAAAGAAGATCTGTAAAGTTGCAAAGACTAAAGTCTCAAATCCAAAGAAATATTCTTTATAAAAGTTCAGAGTCAGCCACACCTACCTAAAACGGCTCGTTCTAACACGCCCCCACATACCTACCTCACTATGTGGGAGGATTTGCATAACGCTGCCCAAATGTTCATGCAAAGAAAGAAGGCGTAATTTTTATTCTCGCTGTAGTATTGTTGTTGCCGCTGCCGCCATGTCCTGAAGATGCTGTGTGCTTCGTTGTGAAAGCGAAACTTCTTTGTTTGGTCTTCCAAAAGAGAACGATATCCGCTTCGTCATGCCTAGAGCTGATCCGTGCTGGTCGCTGAGGGAATACATCAACTTAGGGCTGTGGATCGCCGGATCGGCTTTCACCGTGGACGAAGCCCGGGGTCGTCACATGTGCTTGCCGCTCCTTCGTCGGATCCGCCGGCTGCGCTGTTCTCAACCCCACCACCTCTGCTCACTCTAGCCCGGCCTCAGCTCACGCTAAGCCGGGGCTTACGCTAGGCCGCTGTGTTTTTCGTTGTGAAAGCGAAACTACTTTGTTTGGTCTTCCAAAAGAGGACACGACTACAAATCAGTGGTTAAGTTGTATTTACAACACTGTTCCAGAACAGTTTAACCCAAATATCCAGATGTGTGCAGCACATTTTATGGAGGACTGTTTACTGATCCTGGGAGAGTAACGTTAGACTACAATGCCGGCAGTTCTGACTCACAGGGGTATTTTTCTTACCATCTTTTGGGGGTTTCTTGCTTTTAGACTAGTCAACTAGTCGGATACAAAACTTTCGTTTAAACGACAGTCAAATTAGTCGTTGCGCACATTCCTAAACTACCACCCGGGTGACACTAGTCCAATAACAGACCATGCAAAATACCCAAAAGTATTTAAAATATTGCAAAGTAATGTTGCAACCTTGCAAACAATAATAAAATCAGAGAAGGACTTCAACTGTAAGCGACACGAGCATACGCAAAGCAACCGCAACTGACGTAGATTTACAGAAAACGACTGCCGTTTGGCAAAAAAATTATTTTACGTACTTATTCCTAACACTTTAAGCTTTACGTTACATTTCAAATGACAAGGGATCAACTTATAATCATGTTCATATGAATTATCCCATGAACTTATTCTCTCAAATGGCCTGGGTATGTGGAGCATTCGCAGTTTATATGGAGGGAACGCCACTGATTTATATTATATATATTTTATATATTATGGCTATGCAAACATGACTTTTTAGTTTTCTAAGAGAGCAACTTGATGTTTGTATGTAATGGTGATTATGCAGTTAATCGTAAATGTATTTGGATACTGCTGTTTACATGCTATTTTGGTCTGATCTATTTGATTAGCATGCAATAATGGCCAGCCATGATCTGCTGTAGTGCTGGGCAGGAGGATGACAGAGAAAGAAAACCATGGAGAAATACCTTCCCAAATATGTCCCATTCTTCACTCTTCTGGCTCTGTCAGGACTCTTATTCCTGCTGTGGAATATCACCTCATTGGAAGTGAGTAAAAGCAAAGTCCCTTTCAAGGAAAGATTGTTCACTCGGCGGCCATATTTGCAACGCCTCCGGGCAGCTATTTCGAACATCCAAGACCATGTCCTATCTAAATGAATGGGGGAATCCTGAAATCTCAAAAACTGCTTGCCGAACTCACAATTAAATTACATATTTCAAATCAGCAACAAAATCTGAAATTTTAGTCCAGCCAATGTGCAGGTACAGTCATAAGCGCGAGTCTCAGGTTTCTATGGGAACTGGAGCTTCTAATGGCAGCTGCAGTGACACAATGACTTTACAGATTAGGCCATTCTTAAAGGGGTCATATGATGCGATTTCAATTTTTCCTTTCTCTTTGAAGTGTTACAAGCTCTTAGTGCATAAAGAAGATCTGTAAAGTTGCAAAGACTAAAGTCTCAAATCCAAAGAAATATTCTTTATAAAAGTTCAGAGTCAGCCACACCTACCTAAAACGGCTCGTTCTAACACGCCCCCACATACCTACCTCACTATGTGGGAGGATTTGCATAACGCTGCCCAAATGTTCATGCAAAGAAAGAAGGCGTAATTTTTATTCTCGCTGTAGTATTGTTGTTGCCGCTGCCGCCATGTCCTGAAGATGCTGTGTGCTTCGTTGTGAAAGCGAAACTTCTTTGTTTGGTCTTCCAAAAGAGAACGATATCCGCTTCGTCATGCCTAGAGCTGATCCGTGCTGGTCGCTGAGGGAATACATCAACTTAGGGCTGTGGATCGCCGGATCGGCTTTCACCGTGGACGAAGCCCGGGGTCGTCACATGTGCTTGCCGCTCCTTCGTCGGATCCGCCGGCCGCTCCGTTCTCAACCCCGCCGCCTCTGCTCACTCTAGTCCGGCCTCAGCTCACTCTAGCCCGGCCTCAGCTCACACTGAGCCAGGGCTCACGCTAAGCCGCTGTGTTTTTCGTAGTGAAAGTGAAACTACTTTGTCTGGTCTTCCAAAAGGGGACACGACTACAAATCAGTGGTTAAGTTGTATTTACAACACTGTTCCAGAACAGTTTAACCCAAATATCCAGATGTGTGCAGCACATTTTATGGAGGACTGTTTACTGATCCTGGGAGAGTAACGTTAGACTAAAATGCCGGCAGTTCTGACTCACGTAAGTACGTTTTCATTTAAAGGATTTGCCACTGATGAATCAAACGCGAGTTTTGGGCAGTGTAGAGTAGCACTTGTTGTTTGTCATTTCTCTGATCACAAATGCAGACAGGGTTTTATGTTTACGCGGCGCGATGCAATGCAACGCAACGCGTAAAAAGACTGTATAAGTCATTATAATCAGTAATTATTTTCCCACTGGATGCAACAAATGCCTCGTTTGTAATAGGTTTTAATGTTTTTGTCTCGTCGCTCCGGCCGGGACACGGCATCAACAGTATGGTAAGGGGCGTAACATTTCCGTCTCACGCTTGAGGTATTCGGCCAATCACAACGCACTGGATAGCTGGCCAATCACAGCACACCTCGCTTTTTCAGACCGATGAGCTTTGTAAAAATGGACGCGTTTCAATAAGACGGGGCATAGAGGAGAAACAATAATGCACAGTATGTGGAAAATAATGTTTTTTTTTACTTTAAACCGCATAAACACATTTCATTACACCAAATACACAAAATAATGTTTTTAGCAGCATTTTAGCAGCATCATATGACCCCTTTAAGTAATAGGAGGGAACCGTCTTTGATTACAATTTCTGCTTTCTCAATTTATTAAGCAAAATCATCAAGCCCGCTGGTTATTTATACTGAAAAACGTTTCATTTTCATTTTACATTTTGCGCTATCTTGCAATGGTAGCAAGTCTACACAAGCTTTCATGGTTGCGGTTGCCAGATGACAAGTGTTTAAATCCCCCAATCAGAGCTTTTCTCTTAAATGGAAACATTTTCTAATAAAAAAAAGTATCGTCTTGTGTTTTGGATTGTTATAAAGTACAGCCGTGGCCATAATCCACTGATGTATTGTTCTAGTTCATGAACAATAAATCGGTAATCCATCTTATTTGCAATGTGGAAATAGTTCATATTTTCATTATTTGTGCAAGTCTTACTTTTAATTTATATGGTAGCTGACTACTAAGAGGAAGATAATACTACAGATAAAGGGGTCCTATTATGCTTTTTCAACTTTAGTTAGTCTGTAATGTTGCTGTTTAAGCATAAAAAAGATCTGCAAAGTTACAAAGCTCAAAGTCCACTTCAAAAGAAGATATTTTATTTAACAGAAATCCCTTTTCAAAAACTCCAATGAACGACTCGTTTGGACTACAACGCATATTTTCCGGGATTTGTGATATCACAAATACCGACGAATGGGACGAGACCTGGTTGAGCTGCACTAGAGAAGGCAACGAGTGTTATTTTATCACTATGTCGGAGACACGCTAGCTTTCCCAAGGCAGACGAACTTAGAGTGGTTACAATCACCTGGGTTTAAATCGCGCTTAAATTGATTTGATTTTGACGTAATATTTACATTGAAGCTCGCAGGCGGCTATGGTAAGGGGCATGACATTTCCCGACCGGGCGCCGAGTGGTGCCAATCACAACACACACTGTCCCAGCTAACCAATCACAACACATTTCGTATTTCAGAAGGCGAAATACGAAATACTTCATTTGATACAGGAACTATTCGAGCCGTTCATGCCAGACTGAGGAGAGAGGTGTTACAATAATGTAAAATATGTGAAAAAGAATGTGTTTTTCGAACAACCAAGTATGAGAGCCTGTTCTAGTACACCCCCAAATAAAATCAAGACTTTGTAAAAGAGCATAATCGGACCCTTTAAGTAGGGTTGGGGACCGAGAACCGTTTTTTGAAAAGAACCAGAACCGTGAGCTATTTCTAAGTTTCCTAAGGTTCCGAAAACAATTCTGGTGCGACACGTGACCAAGCGCTGTGAGCAGCCTTGCGCCAGCGTTTCACGTAAAGGATGTCAAAAACTAAATAACAGAAACGCCGCTCTGCCTCTTTAATTACTGAGCACATTGCTTCCCATGACGCGCACTCCACAGACGCGCCGCGCCGCGTCTTTAACTGCCGAACACATCGTTTTCCACGAGTGTACTCGCACTCGCGTCTTTGATAACTGTGCACGTTGTTTATCTCACTGTACACCTACCGGCAGCGCGCAGCTCCTGCCGCCACTAAATTGCATTATATTTGTCCCATATTGTCATTAATATACATACTGACTTCAACTTGGACCACTAAATAAATAGACTGCTATTGTTATGCAAGTATGCGGGTTAGATTATTTAGTGTACAGGTCATTTCAAGAGTGATAAACAAAGTGATAGAAAATATTTATTTTCATGCATCTTAAATGTTTAAAAATGTGGAAACCACTCATTGCATCACACCATCTCCTGACTGCATTATTATTTGTAAAATAGGGGCTTTATGGAGTGTGTACACATGGTTATAAGTATAACAGTTCATATTTCATTAATTTAGGGAAAATGAACAAGTGTCTTAGTCCTCAAGGGACTATTTGGCCAACCAGCTTATTCCTGCTTGAAAAGCAAAATGTTATTGATAGTGTAAAAAACATCAACTTTGAAGCACATGTGATTGATGGACTAGCATTACTCAACATTACTTACTACCTTCCACCAACACTACATTCAATGAAGGTAAAATAGTAAAAAATAATAATAATAGTTCATTTAAATGGAATCAGAACTGGAATCGTTAGGCAAAACTGGAACCGGAAAATTTCTAACGATACCCAACCCTACCAGATGACAAGTGTTTAAATCCCCCAATCAGAGCTTTTCTCTTAAATGGAAACATTTTCTAATAAAAAAAAGTATCGTCTTGTGTTTTGGATTGTTATAAAGTACAGCCGTGGCCATAATCCACTGATGTATTGTTCTAGTTCATGAACAATAAATCGGTAATCCATCTTATTTGCAATGTGGAAATAGTTCATATTTTCATTATTTGTGCAAGTCTTACTTTTAATTTATATGGTAGCTGACTACTAAGAGGAAGATAATACTACAGATAAAGGGGTCCTATTATGCTTTTTCAACTTTAGTTAGTCTGTAATGTTGCTGTTTAAGCATAAAAAAGATCTGCAAAGTTACAAAGCTCAAAGTCCACTTCAAAAGAAGATATTTTATTTAACAGAAATCCCTTTTCAAAAACTCCAATGAACGACTCGTTTGGACTACAACGCATATTTTCCGGGATTTGTGATATCACAAATACCGACGAATGGGACGAGACCTGGTTGAGCTGCACTAGAGAAGGCAACGAGTGTTATTTTATCACTATGTCGGAGACACGCTAGCTTTCCCAAGGCAGACGAACTTAGAGTGGTTACAATCACCTGGGTTTAAATCGCGCTTAAATTGATTTGATTTTGACGCAATATTTACATTGAAGCTCGCAGGCGGCTATGGTAAGGGGCATGACATTTCCCGACCGGGCGCCGAGTGGTGCCAATCACAACACACACTGTCCCAGCTAACCAATCACAACACATTTTGTATTTCAGAAGGCGAAACACGAAATACTTCATTTCATACAGGAAACTATTCGAGCCGTTCATGCCAGACTGAGGAGAGAGGTGTTACAATAATGTAAAATATGTGAAAAAGAATGTGTTTTTCGAACAACCAAGTATGAGAGCCTGTTCTAGTACACCCCCAAATAAAATCAAGACTTTGTAAAAGAGCATAATCGGACCCTTTAAGTAGGGTTGGGGACCGAGAACCGTTTTTTGAAAAGAACCAGAACCGTGAGCTATTTCTAAGTTTCCTAAGGTTCCGAAAACAATTCTGGTGCGACACGTGACCAAGCGCTGTGAGCAGCCTTGCGCCAGCGTTTCACGTAAAGGATGTCAAAAACTAAATAACAGAAACGCCGCTCTGCCTCTTTAATTACTGAGCACATTGCTTCCCATGACGCGCACTCCACAGACGCGCCGCGCCGCGTCTTTAACTGCCGAACACATCGTTTTCCACGAGTGTACTCGCACTCGCGTCTTTGATAACTGTGCACGTTGTTTATCTCACTGTACACCTACCGGCAGCGCGCAGCTCCTGCCGCCACTAAATTGCATTATATTTGTCCCATATTGTCATTAATATACATACTGACTTCAACTTGGACCACTAAATAAATAGACTGCTATTGTTATGCAAGTATGCGGGTTAGATTATTTAGTGTACAGGTCATTTCAAGAGTGATAAACAAAGTGATAGAAAATATTTATTTTCATGCATCTTAAATGTTTAAAAATGTGGAAACCACTCATTGCATCACACCATCTCCTGACTGCATTATTATTTGTAAAATAGGGGCTTTATGGAGTGTGTACACATGGTTATAAGTATAACAGTTCATATTTCATTAATTTAGGGAAAATGAACAAGTGTCTTAGTCCTCAAGGGACTATTTGGCCAACCAGCTTATTCCTGCTTGAAAAGCAAAATGTTATTGATAGTGTAAAAAACATCAACTTTGAAGCACATGTGATTGATGGACTAGCATTACTCAACATTACTTACTACCTTCCACCAACACTACATTCAATGAAGGTAAAATAGTAAAAAATAATAATAATAGTTCATTTAAATGGAATCAGAACTGGAATCGTTAGGCAAAACTGGAACCGGAAAATTTCTAACGATACCCAACCCTACCTTTAAGTGGTTTGTGGTCACAGACCAGGTTGTAGGCAACATAATTAGTTTGTTTGTGGATGCAAATATAGGATGATTTTCTAATTATTACATTTAGCACACAGCAGTAAATTATAATTAGATCATTCACTTTTTGCCATGTTACAGTTTTGCTTATGAAGAAACAAATGAGGTTCTTACTGTAAGAATAAGGTTACTTTTAAAGTAAGAGTAAAAAGCATGTTTTGTCCAATGCATGTAATATTTTAATATCTCATGATGATCATGCACTTGTTTTCGAAGGTTATTTTAATAACACCGATTAATCTTGCCCTCTGAACTCTGCAAACCTTCTCATGTTTCTCTGTTATGAAATTTCACATTAAAGGGTTAGTTCACCCAAAAATGAATGAATGAATTAATTAACACAATTTAAGATATTTTTGATGAAATATGAGGGCTCTCTGACCCTCCCATAGACAGCAAGGTAACTACCATGTTCAAGGTCCAGAAAAGTACCAAGATGATCGCAAAGAAAACAAAAATAACGACTATTCCACATTTTCGTCTCTGTCATCACACTGGATCTGGGTCAGCCACACGCCTCCACACGCTTGCGTCATGATACTGGTGTGAACGAGCATCCAAAGTGACGCAGTAGAGACGAAAAAATGGAATAAAGTCGTTATTTTTGTTTTCTTTGCACAAAAAAGTATTCTCGTAGCTTCGTAACTTTACAGTTGAACCACTGATGTCACACGGACTACTTTGTCGATCATCTTGGTACTTTTCTGGACCTTGAACGTGGTAGTTACCTTGCTGTCTATGGGAGGGTCAGAGAGCCCTTATATTTCATCAAAAATATCTTAAATTGTGTTCCGAAGATGAACAAAGGTCTTACGGGTTTGGTACAACATGGGGCTGAGTAATTAATGACAGAAATTTCATTTTTGGGTGAACTAACCCTTTAAATCTTCCGTGTTTTGTTCTCTGTAGAGCTGGAACTGTCAGACAGTATCTACTTTCTATCAGCTTCAGAACAGCATCCAATCAGTCTTGAAGACCTCTGAATTTTTTCTACCGGTGGAGTTTAACTACTCCTTCTGTGCCCACCTCGGCCAGGAGCCCACTGCAGATGAAGCCAGGGAGGAGAGCTATCTTCTCAAATCCATTGCCTGGCCAGAGCCATCGGTCTTAAGACTGCCATTGCGTCAAAGTAGTGATCCTGCACAGAGCTATTATACAATCCAAGACCCTGGAGATCTGCAGGTGGGTGGGCAGCTGGTGGTGAAGGTACAGATGCACAACTTTTTGAGTCAGCCCAAAAAATACGGAGGAGACTTCCTAGTTGCGCGACTTCACACGCCAGAACTGGCTGCAGGTGTGGCTGGCCAGGTACACGACCACAACAAAGGAAACTACACTGTATTTTTCCCACTGCTTTGGGCAGGTGTTGCCCAGGTGGAACTGACAATGATTCACTCCAGCGAAGCTGTGATGGTCCTCAGGCGATTGAGAGAGGAACAATCGGACAGAGTGTTCTTCAAGAGCCTCTTCCACTCGGGGTACCTTTCTGAGACCACTTTGTGTAACATGTGTCTGCCGCACAAACAGCAGCCGCTTTGCAACTACACAGACCCCCAGACCGGAGAACCTTGGTTCTGTTATAAGCCCAAGATGTTGGACTGTGATACACGGATTAACCACTCAAAAGGAGGGTATAAGAAAAACCTTCTCACTGTTTATGAGTCACAGTTCTTCCAAAGGTGAGTGAGAAGTTAAAAGTGGTTGAGAGATACGGTTTATATTTATTGGCCAATGCCAACATCTACTGTGCATAGAATGCAGATACATTATACATTTTTAATGATGAACATACATCTCTTTTCTACTTCTTGAATGACATTTAATTAAATTTTTTTTCTAGTGGAGTAAATATCAAAATTCCAATACATTCTGCAGGGGTGGACAATGTGACTGTTCAACCTGCTAAAGGTACTGTGGTACATGTTATATTATATTTACACTGCCATTCAAAAGTTTGGGGTCGGTAAGATTTTTTAAAAGTTTTTGAAGGAAATTTCTTGGGCTCACCTAAGCTGCTTTTATTTGATCAAAAACACAGTTCAGTCAAGACCACTCTGGCAATAAAACATACAAATTGTATTATTGTTGATTCATAAACAGTTGTCTTTGTCTGTATATTGGGGGTTTTGCTTTGCAATAAATTATATTATAATAAATTGTTATAGTCTGCGATTGACCTCCCAAGGTACCATCAGCATAACATTAATACAACAACTGTGGCTGTCCACATGATACAAAATAAATTAGCTATTAATTGAAAATTATTTATGAGGATGACAATTAATAGAGACAATGACTATTATGTATCTTTTCACGCTGAGGACAATTGAGGGACTCATGCACAACTATTCCAAAAGGTGAACACATTTACTGATGCTCAAGAAGGCAACACAAAAGATTTTTCTGAAGAACAGCAGGCAGTTGAACTGCTAAGGGCCAATGAGGTAATCATGAACAACTATCATAAAACAGTTGTGGATCATCCAGGAAACGACACAGTCATGAACTACATTTTTTATTTTTTATTTTATAATGTTCTCTGTGGTTCACTTGTTAGTGTGATTTTACATTTAAAAAAACATCATAATTTAGAAGTAATAGGCTATTTTCTATCCTGTTTTTGAGCCTCTGCAGCAGCGCTCGTGTCCGATCTAGATATGTAAGGATCACAAGGAAGGCAATTCAAAGACTGTTTCACAACTTACACTACACAGTGTCTTATAATCTTGTAATGTCATCTTTATGGTTCTGTTGATGGAGTAATCCTGTGTTTGCATCTCTCTAGTATTTCCTACTACAAGCGCGTATCAGTGGGCGGGGCTAAAGAGGCAGTGATCATCTCCTGCGGAGGCAGTGTTTAGCCACACTATTTCGTCATAAAGTGGCACATTCCAAAACGAGTCATTTTCTGAGCTTGGTTTCAATAAAAGCGTTTTTTAAACTAATGAGAAAGTTTTGAGTTTTAAAACTTACAGGATGTTTTTATAGTACATTGACTTATTTGTCAAAAGATCAAAAGAAATTTGATTTCTCAGTTCATGGCCCCTTTAAGTTTCACTTTTGAACGGGGTCTTTTTTTTTAAATTCAATTATTATTTTGTATGTGGAGTATATATAAACATCTGTTATGTTTAATAGCTTATTCAGACAGTACTGAATAAAAAATAACATACAATTTTCATGATCTCTTGTATTTTGTTAAAATTATTAACATTTTGCATGTAAAAAGGGGTATGTAAACTTATGAGCACAACTGTATCCGGATCAGATGGGAATTTAATTATAACTAAACTATTTTAGTATATTTTTAAATGTAATTTAATCTTGTAATGGCAAAGCTGAATTTGGTGTTCAAGAAACATTTCTTATTATTATCAGTGTTGAAAACAGTTGTGCTGCTTAATATTTTTGTGGAAACCATGATATCCTTTTGTAACAATTTAAATGCGTTTACTCGTTATTGTTATTCAATTTAATTTAATGCTGAATAAAAGTGTTATGTTTTATTGTAAAATCTTACTGACCCGAAACTTTTGAAAGGTGTATCATTTTAAATATATAAGAACAGTATTAACAGGTTTAAGTTCTAAGTTCTCATTAGCATTTTTTCTTCTAAAATGGTGAGCTGTCTAGTTTGGAATTAAACAACAACAATTTTTTCTTTTCTTTTCTTTCCTCTTTCTTTCCAGTACAAACCAAAGGGATGCACCTTGAATTCACTTCTTCGGGGTACTACTACCAGGGATCATGGAGGCCGTTGAGTGGTGTCGTCATGCGTCAGTTTAATGGCTCTTCAGTCATAACGCAGTGTCTTCAAGGGAAAATGGTGTACATGTATGGAGACTCCACTGTGCGACAGTGGTACGAGTATCTCATTGGCCATGTTCCAGGTCAGTAATATTTTTGGAACTCTTTTTAAAGGTGCTGTATTGATTTTCAGTCGTTTTTTGTTGGCTTTGACCACATCTCCAAAAGTTTTCTGCCAACTCAATGTCAAAAAAGCATAGCATGAAAAAATTCACGTGTGGAAAGCTTTTCTGATTGGTTGTCAGGGATGCAAACTTCAGCATCTTGCAGCAGAAAAAAAATCTATGTTTTAGAAGAAAAAAAAACAGGTTATCTGTGTAGATTTGGTAATTTTTGTGAGGAGTGATGGGGAATGACAGACAATTCAGGCCTTTTGAGTTGTCAAAATAGCAAAACAAGCGCTCCCAGCTTCAGTGCTTAAAGCACAGCATTGTGTTCTTTCACACATGAGCACATGATTCAGTGTTTTTCAGTGCCTCAGAGCATCTCGTACTAAATGATGCTCCACACAATCTCAGGTGCTGTGAATTTGAGTTGCTTATAATGTATGTAATGTATGTAAAAATGCAACTTACAATAGCCATCTTCCTGAATTTGTAATCAGAATCCCTTATAAATCTGCTTTATAACCTCCCTGTGTTTTTAAAATGTTTGTATGCAAAGAAATTAAGACAGACATGAATGTTAGTAATGTAATTTTACTGTTGTTCTGTAAAATAAAATAATTATTATTAATACCGCTTTTTTATTATACAGTACAATAGTATTTTCACTATAGTATTATGTAAGGGATAATGCTTGGCTAGCTGTGCATTAAACCATTTTAATGCAAGACGTGGAAGCAAAGACGCACCCGACACACTCTGCGGAGTGCATTGAAATAATTTTAATGCACAGCTAGCCATGCATTATCCCGCTTATACCATGGGCATTTGCCAGAATTGTCAAGTTATAACTCATGATGTTTGCAGCACAATATTTGACCGTAAGGGTAAAAATGGTGGTTATTTTTGTCATTTACTGCTCGTTAGCTCTAGCATTCTGCCCACTTCGAATCAGATACAGAGATGAAATAGTGCGGTAGGATCACATTTATTTGAATGAATTATAACATTTACTTTAATTATCAAGAGAGAGAGAGGTGATAGTTGCATGTGTGAATTACTTGCGTCTGCACGTCTCTCTCTACAAACAATGAAGCTGTGAGTTTTATTTAAAACAGCTATTTTACCTCCTTGTTGCTGATGAATATAAGGTAGCGATCCAGTATTTAAGCTATTTTATTAATAAAAGTCGCAGTGCAGCTTTGGCAACAAGTTTCTGTGCTCCTCAATGTTTCTCTGTGTGCGCAGTACGATCTCTTATCTCTCTCTGTGTGTGTGTGTGTGCATGCGAGTGATGTGTGTGCATCAATGAAATTAATGCATTCTTTATTTTTTTATATTTGATTAAAATGAAAATATAATTATTATTATTATTATTTAACTGTTTTATAAAAAATATTTATTATAGTATAGTCATATTGAATAGGTTTCATAAAAAGTTAAATGTGAATGTGGCCTGAGACTGCTGAAGTAATTCATAATTCATTATATCTTATATAGCGCTTTTCTAGGCACTCAAAGCGCTTTACATTTATTAATAAAATAAATAACCATGTTTGAGAATGAAGTTAACCATGTTTGTAGTGTAATTTTGTGTGTGTGTGTGTGTGTGTGTGTGTGAAGTAGAGATATTTGTAGTCTAGGGTGAGTTTTTCCATATATCTTCATGCCAAATAACTATTTTAAACACTTTATTCCTGAGTGGGTATATATCTAATGTCTTTTCCTGATTTTCATCTACATCTCACCCTCTGTTTTATCTTACAATATTATAGAGTTAAAGGAATTCAACTTTCATAGCCCGAAGAATGTTGGCCCGTACATGGCAGGGGACAGCAACCACAACATACTGTTGAGATACCGTTGCCATGGGCCACCGATCCGCTTCATGTCTGTGTCCTCGGCTGAGATGCACTATATCTCAAATGAGCTGGATGGCTTACGAGGGGGCTCGGACACGGTGGTTGTGATTAGCATCTGGTCGCATTTCAGCACTTTCCCAGTACAAGTGTACATGCGGCGCCTGCGCCACATCCGCATGGCAGTGATTCGACTGCTGAACCGAGAACCGGCGACTTTGGTGCTGATCCGCACAGCCAACCTCCAGAAACTGGACCCAGAGTCCAGCTTGTTCAACAGCGACTGGTTCTCCCAACAGCTTGATGCAGTGCTCCGAGCCATGTTTAAGGGTCTGAATGTCCACCTGGTGGACGCCTGGGAGATGACACTCGCCCACCATCACCCTCATCAGCTACACCCTCTACCTGACATTATATCAAACATGGTTAACTTAATTCTTTCGCACATCTGCCCAGTGAGGAGAAAGAAAAGACGTGGCTAAACATCTCAAGCAGTATTTGTGGGCAATCTTGAGGAACTGGTGAGACTTGACGTTAATCATCCATACCTTTGCCTTTGGATCAGCTTTTTTGCTATATTTTCAGCTATTATTTGCTATCTGTTTGGGCTTGCAAAGGTTTATAATGATTTTGCTGGCAATATTAAAATGAAAAAGCACCATAAAACAGCAAACAGTTAATGTAGCCCTTTATACCTTCAATATACTGAGTTTTTAATTTTTTTTTTAGCTAAAACAAGTTTAACATTTTCCTAAAGAGAATAGATAATTCCCCTATAAAACATTTATAATGATAGAGCACTTACTATTGATTTTACATTGGACTCTGGCAGACCCCTTTATCTTAAATTATTTCAGTAAGGTGCTTTTTTTGAAGCTCAGCGGCAACAAGTGGATGAGGTTTTGTTAGTTATAAAATTATTCTCCAATCAATTCAGCATATTAACGTGGTCAACAGGCAAAAACTAATCAAACTTAATTGCTTGTACTCCAGTCAGGGATTTGAATAGGGCTAGTTCACCCAAAAATGAAAATCCTGACACCATTTACTCACCCTCACTTTGTTCCAAACCTGTATGACTGACTTTATTCTGCAGAGACATTTTTAAATAATCTACTTATGTGTTCCACAGGAGAAATTCAGTCATACAGGGTAGGAATGACATGAGGGTGAGTTAATGATTACAGGATTTTCTTTTTTGGATAAACTATTAACTATTACTAAACCCGTTCTGCAATTACCTCTGGAAGATCTGAAAATGTATACAGTGGTTATACTGTCTGTTCTATTTTATGTATCCAAATGCAATGTAAAAATTTACACTCCAAAAATGGTTATTCGGATTTTTTTGGAAGAGTTGTTTACGATCAGTTCATGTGCCTTAACACTACCTGTTTTTGAATTAATTTGTTCCATTTCATTTTTATGTGATTTACAGCTGTAAAATTGGGTCTCTGTACAAGGGTTTCTATAGCATTTATTTGTTTATTTTATTTGTGCGCAGTGGCAAAGGAAGTTCCTAAAATTCTTTATCTGTCCAGTGTTCATGACTCACCAAAATAAATGAACCCTTAAGCATCCATTGTGCTTTTGTCTAAACATCTTTTGTAAGATCTCGGACACTGCAGATTGGTAAATAATTTAGTTACATCCCAGATGTAAGGGTCTAGGGTAAGGGGGTAACAGAGAAAAGTAAACATAAATTTGGTTGGGGTGAGTGAGTACCAGTCCCCTGTCCAGCACAACAGACACGTTAAGTTCCAAAATCAAGTACTTTATTTCCAAAATTTCCAAATGACAAAGTAAAATAGGAAGCAAAAAAAAAACTTCAGGAGGGGGAAAGGCCAAAACAAACAAAAGGACCCTCTAACTAGTTAAGGAGTAAAACTGTCTAAACTGACAAACCAAAAGAAAATTAACAACAGAAATGTATGCTAACTCCCCAACTAAGCAAAAACATGAGAAAAAGATTCACAAATAAAATAGCACCCACCTCCCTACGGCTTCCAACACAGAGAGACATGTAGCGCAACAACAACGCTAATTACCTTTCGGAAGGATACAACAAGGCATAACCCGAGTAAGTTTTACACAGTATCAATCTCTCACAACTACAAGAGCAACACAAGGCAGGCGAGAGGTAGACTATCTAGACTACAAAGCATGTTGAACAGCTTTTGAGCTAGCAGCCTCTACAGTAACGAATGGCAGGTGCGAGTGATCACCTTCCTCTGAGCAGCAGTAACACATGGAGAGACAGAGAAAGAGCATACAGCAGTACGTAGCAACCAACAATATTGTATAAATAAACACGGAATTAAATTTTTTTTTTGATGCAATAAGTTTCAGTCAGACAAGAAAATGATGACATCAAACATCAAATTATTGTAGAAGGTATAAGATTTTTTTTTAATATACGTAAATGCGTTTATAAATAAAAACGGAGTATTCCTGAACACATGGATACAATATCATATTAAAATAATAAAAATTCATAATGAAAGATTAATAAAAAAATAAAAAAAGGGGCAAAAGTCAAAATAACAAACAAAACCCAAAACTTTTTTACTGATTTTTTTAGAGCAGGACAATTTGGAAAAAGGTAAGAATAATAAATAATATTATTATAAATTATAAAATATATAAAACTCTACTTCATACTAACGACAATTGTTTATCTTTTAATAGGTGACATTCGCAGGTGTTATAAAATAAGCCACAAGCTGGGTGAAGGGATGATTTGGCTTTGTGTGCCAAGGGACTCGCAAGGATGGATATGAGGTTTCAGTTTTTTTACTTGCATAACTTTACTGAAAAGATCAGATCAACATGTCATGAGCATCAGAAATTCGTCATGTTTCTTCAGACTATCTTGTTGTTATGCATGTGTTCCATGTTTTGTTAAGTTTGGACACTGCATTCACATAATTAGTCATTATGGTTCTCACTCAAAAAATATATCAGCCTACATCTCCACATGAGACCTTCAGACTTGGTGCCAATCCAGACATCACAGTCTCTTGTTTACATAATGTGTAATGTATAATTATTTTATTACAGTCTTGTAGGGGGCTGCTTATTATTTATGGTGACCATAGGCATTCAAACTAACGAGAAATATAGTCAATCATTTTTCTAACCAATGTTAAATGTGTAAAGAACACATGGATACAATATCATATTAAAATAATAAAAATTCATAATGAAAGATTAATAAAAAAATAAAAAAAGGGGCAAAAGTCAAAATAACAAACAAAACCCAAAACTTTTTTACTGATTTTTTTAGAGCAGGACAATTTGGAAAAAGGTAAGAATAATAAATAATATTATTATAAATTATAAAATATATAAAACTCTACTTCATACTAACGACAATTGTTTATCTTTTAATAGGTGACATTCGCAGGTGTTATAAAATAAGCCACAAGCTGGGTGAAGGGATGATTTGGCTTTGTGTGGCAAGGGACTCGCAAGGATGGATATGAGGTTTCAGTTTTTTTACTTGCATAACTTTACTGAAAAGATCAGATCAACATGTCATGAGCATCATGTTTCTTCAGACTATCTTGTTGTTATGCATGTGTTCCATGTTTTGTTAAGTTTGGACACTGCATTCACATAATTAGTCATTATGGTTCTCACTCAAACTACATCTCCACATGAGACCTTCAGACTTGGTGCCAATCCAGACATCACAGTCTCTTGTTTACATAATGTGTAATGTATAATTATTTTATTACAGTCTTGCAGGGGGCTGCTTATTATTTATGGTGACCATAGGCATTCAAACTAATGAGAAATATAGTCAATCATTTTTCTAACCAATGTTAAATGTGTAAACAACCTGTAGGCGAGGCATTGTTTTACCATGTGGATGAAGCATCTTCCAGGGCCAAAATGGTTCCCAGAAAGCTTTTCTATGTAGATCACACCAACTGTATTTCTATTCTCATTCTACTGAATGCAGTTTCTTGTAGCACCACATGGGGCCAGCAGTGAACTGTCACAAAAACACAGGCTAAGAAGGAAAGTAGTACACTGCTTAGTATATACTATTTTTAGATAATAAATCATATTTGAAACATCAAGTAGACTACAACAGTAAAATTTCAAACAGTACTATGTTACTACTCATACATAATTTAAGTGTGATGTTTAGTTGTCATGTAGAAAATTATTATAAAAAACAGTTGTCCGATAAGGAGTCAAAAACAGTGTTGGGGGTAACGCATTACAAGTAACGTGAGTTACGTAATCAGATTACTTTTTTCAAGTAACTAGTAAAGTAACGCATTACTTTTTAATTTACAAGAGAATATCTGAGACTACAAAGCATGTTGAACAGCTTTTGAGCTAGCAGCCTCTACAGTAACGAATGGCAGGTGCGAGTGATCACCTTCCTCTGAGCAGCAGTAACACATGGAGAGACAGAGAAAGAGCATACAGCAGTACGTAGCAACCAACAATATTGTATAAATAAACACGGAATTAAATTTTTTTTTTGATGCAATAAGTTTCAGTCAGACAAGAAAATGATGACATCAAACATCAAATTATTGTAGAAGGTATAAGATTTTTTTTTAATATACGTAAATGCGTTTATAAATAAAAACGGAGTATTCCTGAACACATGGATACAATATCATATTAAAATAATAAAAATTCATAATGAAAGATTAATAAAAAAATAAAAAAAGGGGCAAAAGTCAAAATAACAAACAAAACCCAAAACTTTTTTACTGATTTTTTTAGAGCAGGACAATTTGGAAAAAGGTAAGAATAATAAATAATATTATTATAAATTATAAAATATATAAAACTCTACTTCATACTAACGACAATTGTTTATCTTTTAATAGGTGACATTCGCAGGTGTTATAAAATAAGCCACAAGCTGGGTGAAGGGATGATTTGGCTTTGTGTGCCAAGGGACTCGCAAGGATGGATATGAGGTTTCAGTTTTTTTACTTGCATAACTTTACTGAAAAGATCAGATCAACATGTCATGAGCATCATGTTTCTTCAGACTATCTTGTTGTTATGCATGTGTTCCATGTTTTGTTAAGTTTGGACACTGCATTCACATAATTAGTCATTATGGTTCTCACTCAAACTACATCTCCACATGAGACCTTCAGACTTGGTGCCAATCCAGACATCACAGTCTCTTGTTTACATAATGTGTAATGTATAATTATTTTATTACAGTCTTGCAGGGGGCTGCTTATTATTTATGGTGACCATAGGCATTCAAACTAATGAGAAATATAGTCAATCATTTTTCTAACCAATGTTAAATGTGTAAACAACCTGTAGGCGAGGCATTGTTTTACCATGTGGATGAAGCATCTTCCAGGGCCAAAATGGTTCCCAGAAAGCTTTTCTATGTAGATCACACCAACTGTATTTCTATTCTCATTCTACTGAATGCAGTTTCTTGTAGCACCACATGGGGCCAGCAGTGAACTGTCACAAAAACACAGGCTAAGAAGGAAAGTAGTACACTGCTTAGTATATACTATTTTTAGATAATAAATAATATTTGAAACATCAAGTAGACTACAACAGTAAAATTTCAAACATTACTATGTTACTACTCATACATAATTTAAGTGTGATGTTTAGTTGTCATGTAGAAAATTATTATAAAAAACAGTTGTCCAATAAGCAGTCAAAAACAGTGTTGGGGGTAAACGCATTACAAGTAACGTGAGTTACGTAATCAGATTACTTTTTTCAAGTAACTAGTAAAGTAACGCATTACTTTTATAATTTACAAGAGAATATCTGAGTTACTTTTTCAAATAAGTAACGCAAGTTACTTTTTTTTCCAATTTATTGATTGACAGCTCTCCTGTCCCCATGTTGAGAGAAATCAGATGTTACTGTAGATCTAAAATAAATATTAATATGCATTAATTCATCTCACTCAAAAAAAAAAAAACAGATTCAGTATTCCTCAAAATGAATAAAAATAATGCAACTCAGAATATGACTCGAACCTGCAATAATTAAATGTTAAACAACACAAATATACTTTATGTATTTAATCCCATTCTATTAACCAATATCTTTGCTTCTGACCTTCGATGATCCAGTTCAACCGTACTAATAAGCAAAAATCACTCTAGACAAACATTCGTGTGTCTTTTTTTATTGCTGACGTGTTTTGAAATGTCGTCTTCTGCATTCTACTGTACGGACGTAAATTTACTTTCCCTTCAGCCTGAGGCTTATTCATTTCACTTTTGGTGTGAAAAGACTTTTATATTTGCCAAAAATAGAAATTTTTATTTTAAAAACAAACAAGCAAGTCCTGTCCAGATTTGAAAAGTAATGCAAAAGTAACGTAACGCATTACTTTCCATAAAAAGTAACTAAGTAACGTGAGTTAGTTAGTTACTTTTTTTATGGAGTAACGCAATATTGTAATGCATTACTTTTAAAAGTAACTTTCCCCAACACTGGTCAAAAATAATGAGGTGTTAAAAATCACCACTGATAAGCTTCAATGTCTCACTGGAAATAGGTCAGGTTCTGTGCACTGCATTGTGGGATACATGTGCTCGGGTTATACACTGCACATTCTGTTACAAAAAAATCCTTACTATGTGCAGAATAAACATAGTAGAAATTGTATGAGTAATATGGTAGTATGATACACCTTAACTGTTTCAAATAATAAGTAACGTTAAAGTATGCAATTTATTTATAATGCAGGATAAAGGTGAATAACTAGGCAGATGAATGCACATGAACATTTAACAGTATACCTGATTATAAGGGCAAGACAATTTTAGTAAATTTTATTGTAAGATTACTTTATTTTGATGTTAATCAAAAATTTCCAGTATTACAGTACAGTTTAGTATGTTGTAAAGTATGGGTTTTGACTAAAATAATTTAATGTTATGGATGTGTAAAAATTAAAACAAACAAAAAATGTATTACAGATGTTTAATAAGTATTTCCTAAGAAATCCATATAGTGAAAGAGACCTTAGAATTTATTTGGACACATTGTGTTAACAGTATGATGTGAGGCTGCGTGAAGAAATTCACTCAATGGTAAGAATTATGAGGGTAAATCAAGTATATTGGATGGAAAGCTCCTTTATCAAGATGCATTTGAAACACAAGCCTTTTAAAGAATGTACAATCATACTAATATGAATATTAGGGGTGGAACGGTTCAACTTACTCACGGTTCGGTTCGGTATGTGCTATGTTTAGGCAAAAACTATACTGTCAATACTACAAGGAAACTGCACAAATAAATACAATAGACTAAAGATACAAATAAAATAAACAGTGATTTTCAGTTTTTTTAGGTAGGTCTAACATTAGTTTTCAGGTACAGAAATTGAATAAAGTAATGAAATGTAAAACAGCATTGCATATTTGACTGTATAAATTAAAGATGAATCTTTATTAAAGTTACAAAAGCTATTAAATCAAGAGCAGTGAGTGATTTCTTTGTTGTTGCTGTTTGATTAATATTAAGAAAGTGCTGTCACTTTAAGAGAATGCCCTGATCCAGTGCACTGATACAGTACGTTCAGCCGGCTATGTCTGCTATAGGATACTTACCAAGACGGGCATTTTGACATAATTTTTGTGTGAATTTGTCCATTTAAACAATACTTCAGAGAAAGAAAGCTTAATATTTGCGCACAAATCTTCTCACTGCGCGTGTGAGCTTGCGTCCTCTGGCTCTTAAATGTTTAAACCGGGTGTGCCTCACAGGTCCTGAAAAGTGAAGCTGCAGGCTCTTTGATCGTTGCCTGGTGGCTGGCTGCAGTACAGGTCATAAACCCCGCCCTCTCCATGTAAACGAATGGGACTAGAGTCAAAATAAAAAAATTAATTACACTTCCAATGCAATTTTCCGAAAGATGGTTTTGGTCATTTAAGGTAGTTGTTATCACGCTGATATATGTTCAATTGTTCGTTTTTGTGATAAGTTTGATTTTAGCTTGTAATGTGATGCTATAAAAATGGGGCGTGTTTTTATGGTTGATTGGGTCTTCGGGAGTTTGGGCGGGAGTTTGATACCGTGGCTCCACCTCACGACACTACTGCGCAGACTCTGGCTCCAAACAAATCTCTACAGCGCAGACTTTGCTCCAAATGACGTCATTTACTCAAGATGGCAGCGGCCATACTGAGATGCTTTGGCTTCACTTTTATATAGTGGAAGAAATATGAGACGCATTGACCATCTTTTTTTACAGTCTATGGTTTAAACTATCAAGGCTTAAACGAGTTTAGCTTAAACATAGATATCAACATGTTCTGTTCAGGTCTCACCTGTGCGCACGCGCTATCAGCACCTGGATGATGACGGAATAAATGCTCATATCGGTCTTTGTCAGTCACGTGTGTTTGTTATGTGTGACGTCACCAAGGCGCCATTTTGAAGGTGTCCTTATCGTTACTGCCGATAAGCATACGTATGCCAGCATACGGCATTCGCACTGAACAAGAGTGAATAGTTTGTCCACGTTTTTTTTTTCTGTTGTTGTAATGTATTGGGAAGCCAGAATGCGCATCCATCAACAGAAACATATGTTAGCCGAACCCTATTTGTTTTACGTGTTATTTATAGCAAACCATATTACAGATGCGTTGTCAGATTTAAGTTGAACCGCTGTCCTAGAGCGTGCCGAACCGTGTGTGGAGAACCGTACGGTTAGATTTTTGTCCGCGAATCATTCCACCCCTAATGAATATGTAACATTTGTGCATTATTAACAACCGTAATAATTGTTGCTATAGGTACTAGTTGCACAGGACAATGACCTGAACTCTAAAAGAATCAGATGATCTCTGTGGAGACTGATGATGGAGGGGAAGTTTCTGGGGTACCAGTTGAGGAGAGTCCCTTTCGGTCCTCTGGAAGCACTTTACACAGCACTGGTATCAAGCCTGAGCTTCTTTCTCCTTTGCCTTCTGTTCCCGGTTATACCTGTGGGGAATAAAGAAACTCATATATATAATCAAATTTCATCATCATTTTCAGCTTTATAATTGGTATATATTGGTGTAAATATTTGTATTTTCTCATTGTTTTTTTTCATTGATTTTCTCAAAGTGACAGCATACAAAGCCCCTAAAATTAATAAGAAAAAAAAAAAAAGCATGCACACAAGAAACTTTTTTGTGCCCTCGAGAAATTATTCACAAGCGCATGGGAATTTTTTGCATGTTTCCACATTACAATTTCTAGTTTTATAGTAGTCAATTGTAAATATTTTTATTTTCTCATTGTTTTTTTTCATTGATTTTCTCAAAGTGACAGCATACAAAGCCCCTAAAATTAATAAGAAAAAATTTTTTTGCATGCACACAAGAAACTTTTTTGTGCCCTCGAGAAATTATTCACAAGCGCATGGGAATTTTTTGCATGTTTCCATATTACAATTTCTAGTTTTATATAACCTATTTCCTTTGTGCATTACTGCCATTTTACTATAAATAAAACGAGAGCATAGATGCACATGAATTATCTATATATAAATATATATATATATATATACACACACACACACATATATGTGTATATATATGTACGTATATACAGTATCGCACAGAAGTGAGTACACCCCTCACATTTTTGTAAATATTTTATTATATCTTTTCATGTTACAACACTGAAGAAATTACACTTTGCTACAATGTAAAGTGGTGAGTGTACAGCTTGTATAACAGTGTAAATTTGCTGTCCCCTCAAAATAACTCAACACACAGCCATTAATGTCTAAACCGCTGGCCACAAAAGTGAGTACACCCCTAAGTGAAAATGTCCAAATTGGGCCCAAAGTGTCAATATTTTGTGTGCCCACCATTATTTTCCAGCACTGCCTTAACCCTCTTGGGCATGGAGTTCACCAGAGCTTCACAGGTTGCCACTGGAGTCCTCTTCCACTCCTCCATGACGACCTTTACATTGTAGCAAAGTGTCATTTCTTCAGTGTTGTCACATGAAAAGATATAATAAAATATTTACAAAAATGTGAGGGGTGTACTCACTTCTGTGAGATACTGTATATATATATTTTTGTTTATATATATATATATATATATATCTATAACTATATATATTTATTTTCAACTGACAACAAAGTTTGCCATTTAAATTGGCATCACTGCACACATTTTAATAGGTAATACAATTTTTAAAAACAAATGACATTATTTATACTTTGATTTCCTTCAATAAAAAGGAAATTGAGTAAGACAGTGTAAAAGGTGTGTGGACGTGTATTAGTAATCTAGCGCCTTGGTATAAAGGAGAAAACGTACTGGCCCTCGTCACTATCAAAGTTACCCATCCTTGAATTAGACTATGCAGTTGATTCCTTATAAGATCTTTTATTATATACATCTACATAGCTGACGCCCCTGTGTCCTACTTGACATGAAATGGAAGTTAAGTTAATCTTTTCTATCCTATTGTGATGTATATCCAAGCAGAACGGCTTCCTGAACAAGGAAAAAATTTGTAAGGCAGGATTTAATTTGGTCCAGCAGGAATTGATTGGATCATTGTAATTTGCTATTGCTGCGATTTCATGTGAGTGGCAGATTGCTGGAGGGGAGAGGTTATTGTCCTGCCCTCGCAACAGTGAACATGTCGTCAGAGAAGAGAAGAGGTGAAGGTGCAAGGGGGAAGAGAGGTTATTTTGATTGAAGATTACAAGGGCATGTGAATTAAAAATTTTTTTAAATAATGATGTGCACAAATATCATTTATAATAAACAAAAAAAATCATATTAAAAAATAATTTCATGCTGACTTAAGTTTTACTTTTTTGTCACAGTCATCGACTAATCCAGAGATGAATTACACATAGCTGTTGTGAATGACGTGATATCAGATGGCTTTTAAACAAGACATGATGCACTTCACTGCCAGACTGTTTGCGTCAGTTCAAGGTTTGTTTGGAAACTGGACAAAAGTCTCAAATCAAGAACATTCACCTTTTGCTTATTTCCCCATTTAAGTGATTTTATAGCATGTATTCTGTAGGTGAATGAGAGTACTCACTTCCATATTCTGAAGAGCTGTGATCCTCCTGCACCTCCAACAAAGAAGTTTACAGCAAAGAGATTCCAGTTCTTGGGTATAATAACCAAAGAATACCTGGACCAAATAAGTCCTGAAAAACAGAGTGAGGGAGATTGGGATCTTTGAATTGTTCAGTTTTATTAAATTTTTTTTGGTTACTGTGTGATATATACCTGTGGCAGTCAACACAGCAGATTGGGAGGTACTGAGTTTATCTGCTGGACGTGTCATGTCTGCTAAGCCAGCTATGACCAGACCCTGTGAGAAATCAGAAATTAAACTTTTTATATATAAATAAATAAATATCAATCAATCCAAAGAACATCTAGATACTGTGTTGTTAATCTTACCCATTTAAACATTGGTGCCCAGAAGAAAACAGTCTTTGGACCTAAACAAAAAGCAAATCAATACAGTTAAACTCATGTTTCACAGGTCAAATGTGTGTAATTGTGACAGGTATCGGGTGATTCAACTTACAAAACCTAAAGCACTAACACAGAAGAGAATTATTAGGTAATTTAAAAAATACACTTTACACTAAATACTTGTTCTTGCAAGTACACTTTGTGGTTGTGTTTTGGTACCAAATATGTATATCTTCCCAAGGTTTTTTTTTTTTACAGCACTAAAGGACACAGACTTGAACCTGCGTCTCTGTGACCTGATGGTTCTTTGTTGTGGGTATGTGCACCACACTATGCCGAAGCTCAGACTTAAATTAATTTTCAATAAGAACTACAATATACAATGGCTGATGGTATAAATGTTTAACCAATTATGGATTATTTTCTGTAAACAGTCAATGTTTAAATATTCAATAAGACTAAATGCACTGATCAGCTTCGTGGAGTTTGAGCCATCAGTGATCAACACAATGCAACAGACTTGTTTTAGAACTTGATCTAAAAAACAATCAGCATGTTAAAAATCCATTTTAATATCATTTAATAAAAGATCAGTCATCCCTAGCACTAAATATGACCCCCTCCCTCTGCCAAATGTGAAGCTGAGGTCACAATCTGCATGCCAGCACTGTTCGTTTAATCTTTTTTTAGTTTCTTGTCAGTCAACCTCTGCTTATCAACACACGTGTAATTTGATCTCTATTTATTCTACCACCAATGACTAGAACTATAAACACATTGACTCCCTTAAGAAAACTCATTATTCAGTAACAGACAATATTACCGAGAATGATTTCTGTTTCTCAAGGGCACTTTCAACAAATACAGTACACTTTGGTGACCCATAACATTGTTTTTCTTTTTGTAGTATCTCTTTCATTGCATGTACAATTACAATTTTACACGAACAATGGATTATTGTTTCAATAATCAATCCAAAATCATAAATAATACTAACACTTAATAATACTAGTTGGAAAATTACAATCACATAAATCAAGACTTTTAACAGCATTTAGTCATGCCCCAAAATTTGAAAACACATAATTAGTTTAAACATATTTAATTAAACACAAGTTTAGACATCGTTTCACTGACCGGTTGTTTAAAATGAAAAGACAATGTTATTCCTCACTTATGTATAAATACATAAAAAAAAGAATTTTAAGCCCCATTTTGTACTCAAAATCATTGAAAGTGCCAAAAACACTCATAAAAGCAAGTATGACAAGACCAGAACTGCAGACAACAATTCAGAATCAAAATAAATTATAAATAAATAAAAATTTATAATAATAATTGTAATACATTTCTACATATCATACAGTGGCTATAATTCATTACCATATAGTTGCACCTTCTTAAAACATTTTCTATATCTTAAAGGGGTCATATGATGCTTTTTTAAAGATCATTATTTTGTGTATTTGGTGTAACAGAAAATGCTGACATGCTTTAATGTTCAAAAAACACATTATTTTTCAAATACTGTACATTATTGTAGGTCCTCTATGCCCCGCCTCTCTCAAACACGTCGTTTTCTACAAAGTCCCTCCTTCCGACAAGCGCAGTCTGCTCTGATTGGCCAGCTGACCCAGTGCATTGTGATTGGCCGA